AGTCAATGACTTCCACCTTCAGAAACCAAAACAGGAACACTCAGTATGTGTTTGAAAAGTCTGAAAAGAGAAGCTAAAACAGAAGAGTAAATGAAGTCAAAGCAAGAAATAATTAAGGTAAGGGCAAACATCAATGAAAGTCAAAACAGAAAAATAGAGAAAATCAGGAATAAAAGGAAGGAGTCATTCTTACCACTCCTACACAGCATTTTACTGGTAGTCTCACCCAGTGGGGGGAAAAGAGAAAAAGAAAGACGTATACACATTGCATGCTAAGAAATAAAACTGTCCCAACTGTCAGACAACAGTCATCTATGTAAAAATCCTATGGCATCTCAAAACACAATGCTAAAATACAAAATAATCACATTTTATATATTACATTTTACATTTTACTAACTTATTAGAAAAAGAGAGAGAAAGAAACAGAAACAGACAGAGCAAGCTGGTTCACTCCCCAAATGCTTCCAATAGGCAGGGTTGGTGGGCCAGGCCAAAGCCAGGAGCCTAGAGCTCATTCCAGGTCTTCCACACCTATCACCCCCACCTGCTGCCTTCCAGCGTGCACACAAGCAAGAAACCGCCATCAGAAGCAGAGCTGGCCCTCCAATATGGGAGCTGGGCAACCCAAGGAGCCTCTTCACCAACGTGCCAAACGACTGCTGCATAGAAATTGAAATAGAAAACAACACCAAGCATAAAATACAAAGAAGTGCGTATTACGTTTAATGAAACATGCACTTGAGGGACTAGCACTGCGGCACAGGGGGTTAAGCCACTACTTGCAACACCTACATCTCGCACGAGAGTGTTGCTTCAAGTCCCAGCTACTCCACTTCTGAGCCAGCTCCCTGCTAATGCACTTGGGAAAGCAGAGGAAGATGGCCCAAGTGCCTGGGGCTCTGCCACCATGTGGGAGACCCAGATGGGAGTTCCTGGCTCCTGGCTCAGCCTGGTCCAGCCCCAGCCATTGCAGCCACCTGGGGAGTGAATCAGCAAATGGAAGAACTCTATCTCTTCCTCTCTGTCTGCCTTTCAAATAAATAAATAAACTTTAAGAAAAATTTAATATGCACATGATCTGCATGCTATGCAAAAAACTACAAAACACTAGTGAAAATTATCAAATACCTAAGTAATAAATACATGAGATGTGTCACACTCGTGGTTTGGCAGACTAAGATTTCAGTTTTACCCAAATTTACAAACTGAATGTAATCCTAGTCAAAATCTCTGAGTTTCTGAGGATATTGAGAAGCTGATTCTAAAGTTTCAAAGGAAAGGCAAAGAAGTAAGAATAACCAAAACAGTTATGAAAAAGAACAGACTTGGGAGACTAATCCCATCTGAGCTCCAGACTCATGAAGCCATGCTAAACAAGACAGAGCAATGTTAGCACCAAACAGATACACAATCAACAGACCTACAGAGGCCAGAAACGACTTTGACAACGCACATGGCAAAGCTCTGGAGCAAGGGCAGTCTTCCCAACAAGTAGCGCGGAAAACCGTGAAAACGGACTCAAAATGCGTCACAGACCCAAATACAAGAGAAGACAAAAGAGAATGTTTGTGTACTTGGTTTAGGCAAATCCTGAGATACAACACTAAAAGCACAATCTATTTTTTAAGTGATAAATTGGACTTCATCGAAATTAAAACCTCTTCTCTGCCAAACATGATGGTAAGAGGATGGAAAGGCATCCTACAGACTGCAGAGCCATTGTCTGTGCACATTTGACAGGGAACTTACATACAGAATTGTATAAAGAATTCTAAAAAAGGAACAAGTGCTTAACAAAGAGGATGTACAAATGGCATTCAATAGCATTAGCAGGATAGTATACATCAAAACCACAATGAAATACCACCATGTATCTAGGAGAATGAACAGAATTTCTGGACGTGCCAAGCCCTGATCAGACGCTGAGCAACTGGACACTGCTGGTCAGAAAGAAGGCAGAATGGCTCACCCACTCTGGAAATCTCTTCTGAAACTGAGCACACACTTACTTAACGACCCAGAGATCCTGCTCCTACAAATGAAAACTTATGTTCTCAAAAAGAAAAAAATGCATAGGAATGTTTTCTTCAAAATCACTGGGGCCAGCATTGTGGCACAGCAGATGAACTGCCGCCTGTAACACTGGCATCCCATGTGGGTGCCGGTTTGTGTCCAGGCTGCTCCACCTCCGATCCAGCTCCCTGCTGATGGCCTGGGAAAGCAGTGGGAGACGGCCCAAGTATTTGGGCCCCTATCCAAGTAGAGACCAGGATGAAAGGTCCTGGCTTCAGCCGGGCCCAGCTATGGCTGTTGCAGCCCTCTGGGGATGGGATGGGGGGGAGGGGGTGAAAGGGGAGATTGTCTATTTACTGATTCACTCCTCAAATGGCCGCAATGACCAGGGCTAGGCCAGGCTGAAGCCAGGAGCCAGGAGCTCCATCTGGGTCTCCCACGTGGGTACAGGAGCCCAAGCACCTGGACCATCCTCTGCCACTTTCCCAGGCCATTAGCAGGGAGCTGGACCAGAAGTAGAGCAGCTGGGACTCAAACCAGTGCCGCAAAGCCGCCTTGTTGCTGCACTTCTGGTCCAGCTCCCTGCTAATGGCCTAAGAACATCCTTGGGCCCCTGTCACCCACGAGGGAGACCAGGAGGAAGCTCCTGGCTCTGCCCAGCTGTCACAGCCATTTGGAAAGTGAATCAGCAGATGGATGTTCTCTCTGTTTCTCCTTATCTCTCTGTAACGCTTTCATATAAACAAATCTTGAAAGAAGAAGTTCCTGTGGTCTAAAGAAGATCCAGTGCAGGAACGTCTTAGAGAATAGTATGTTAGCTATTTGGGTAAATACCAGGGGTCCTTACAAAGTTCACAGAAAATGTATATGATGAAAACACTACACACTGATTTCAAAACTTTTCTGCACCACAACAGACTCATAGTAACCTGCTACAACACGTCTGAGCAGGACCTAGCTGAAGCACTAAGGACAGACATTAGTCTGAAAGAAGCCACTTTCAGAACAACATGAATTCTGCTAAAACTGAGGCAAGCACAAACATGAAATGGACGGTAAAATTTAGGTGCAAGAGTGGTGAAATCAATGATGCCTTACAAAAAGTTTACAGGGACTCATTTTAAGAAGGGACAAGATGATGTTGAAGATGAGGCCCACGAGGCAGACCATTCACATCAGTTTACGAGAACAAAATTAACCCTGTGTATGTCCTAACAGAAGACCAACATTAACAGTAGAAATGACAGCCACAAGCAGAGCCATTCTGAAAAATTAAAGTGGAACAAACTTTCTGCTCAATGGGTACAAAAACAAGAACAGATTTTTCCATGGAAATTTTAAACCAGCGGGATCAAGATCCTGAAGCGTTTCTTCACACGAGAACAGGAGGAGAGATGCGGCCTTCCCGGTACAACCCTGAAAACAAAGCACCGTCAAAGCAACGGCTACCAAGAGCTGTCAAGAGCAAAGGCCATGCTAACAGCTTTTTTTGGATGCTCAAGGCGCTCTGTTGACTTTGGAGGGTCCAAGGATGGTGCACCCTGCTTATTCAGAGGACATTTTGAGAGTCAGCCAAAGCTTAGCAGAAAAACACCTGGGAAAGCTTCACCAGAGGGTCCTGAGGCAATGCTCCGGCTCACCTCCTCACACAAGGTGATTCTGTGAAGGCACTGATGGAAAACCACCAGGAACCCACCCAGGAGTCCTAACGTGGCCTCTTTAAGTCTTTAGAAGGGCCCCCATCGTTCTTCAGTTACTGATGTAAAACACATTGGATTAACACAGCTAAGTTCCCAGGACCATCAGTTCCTCATGGATAGACTAAACGACTGGTACCATCGTTTATCCAAGTGTCTTGAACTTGACAGAAATTATGTTGAGAAATAAAGTTTATATATTTTTTTCTTTTGAAAGACAGGGAGACAGAAAGAGACAGACAGCACTCCTAGCCACTGGTTTACTCCCCAAACACCCCAACAACCAGGGGTTGAAGCCAGGAACCAGGAACTCAACCCAGGCCTCCCCGTGGAGGCAGGACCCCAACTATCTGTGCCATCACTGCTGCCTCCCAGGAGCCACGCGAGCAGGAAGCTGGAACCCACCTGCTCCAGATGTGGGATGCAGGCGTCCTGGGAGCCACCTCACACACCAGGCCAGGCAACTGCCCCAGTCTCATCTTTTAACGCCAATTCTTCATGAATTTTTGGAAGTTCCCTCAGATTATAAATGTGATTCTATGACAAAGGCATCACCTTTCTAGCAATAAAATGTACTAGTCTAAAAATTCTTAGCAGACATGCACCTCTACTTTTATATCAGACATCAGCTGACAAACAGAACTTGCTTTTCTGTATTTTCTCTCATTATTTGGTAACAAAATGAAATGTGGCCACACAAAACCATCATTCAATTTAAACTTAACAGTATTTCCCCTTCATATGTGATGAATACTAATTTTTTTTAACTTTAACAAAAATGTAATGCATCCAGCCTAATTTTCCATATCTCTATCAACATCTTGGGTATGTCCTATTATGCCATACCATTTTTAACCATTTTATTTCTTCTACAGGTACTGTCCTACTTATTACCAATAATGCTATTAATCAATACTTATCAACTACTTCATCTGAGCTCTTTGGCTAAAGCTTTACAAACAACTTCCTTTTACAACAGTGCTATTCCAGTGGGAGGTGACTATCGCCAGGGTTGCAGAGATGAGAGGTAGAACCCAGCCCAGCACCCTGGATGACTACTCACATACAAACACTGCCATCTTCCACTCTGCCAAGTCACTCCCCACGGCAATTACAACTATAACTGCAGATAGCTAGTCAATGTGACGGCACCTGGATATGTAAGTGCTTACTTCATCCCTCCACTGGGTAACACTACTTCTGTATAGTGACAAGACCAAAGCACCTGGCAAATGCAAGACTCGCTCATGTCCGTCTGGATTTCGTTAGGACAGACCACCAACTTACTCTCTTACTGAGGCAGATAACTGGCCACATGCTGCAACCCAGCGTGCAGCAGCAGCAAAGGCAGCCGCAGAGGAGCCAGCGCACATTGACAGGAAGGTTCTTCTTAAGACAACTGTTAACTCTGTTGATGCTGGCTTTGAATTCTTCAGGAGCTACCTACGGAGAAATTTTAAGAAATAAGAACATTGCAATAATAATGTCAGTAAGCATGTCTCATTAGCATACATTTTCTAGTTTGCTTGGAAAAAAAATTCAGTTTTGAGGCACATAAACAGTACATAGTAATTAAGACACTCACTTTTCCAGTTAATGAAGAAGGGAATTCTGATTCAAATTTGTTGCTCAGTCCAAATCTATTTAAAAAAGCAAGAATATGCTATTACATAAGGTCACAAAATATTTAAACCATTTAAATTAACCAAGGTCAAGTACACAGAATGCAGATTCACATACAGACCAGTCTGAGACACAACCAATGTTTAACACACAATCACTGTAGTAATTTAAGCAATGTAACACGCAATTATTTTAGCAGTTGAATCAGAACTTTCATACAATGAATCAAGGCTGAATGCTAACGAACCAACAGAATAAACAAAAGAATACAGTTGATTTAATTTGAGCTACCACTTAAGTATCTTAAAAACTTCCTACACTGTACATCACTTTAACAGATGAAACAACAATCGTTTTCTAGCTTTGAATCTGACTGATGGAAATAAGAAATGGCTAAAAATTTTAGCAGGTTTCTGACACAAACAAGAAGAGAAGGAAAAGTGTAAGAGAAAGAGCAGGGAAAAGGAAGGGAGAAGGGAGAGGACACAGGCAGAAGGCCAAGTGCGGACTGACAGAGCGCTGCCAAGGACTGCCCCGTGGCGGCCACAGCTCCTTGCCAGAGCTTTCAACGCTATGAAGAAACTGGATGCATCAGCTCTACCTACAGCCTCTCCTCTGACCTCAAACACCTTTCCTGAATCGCTGTTAAAACCCTCCATGGCTCCAGAGTTGGTAACAAACCTAACCCGTGTTGCTCTCTCACGTGTTAGGTAGCCAGCAGAAGAAAATCCACTTGAAGGAAAGAGAATTCACGCAAACCACAATCACCAAGACCCTTCCGTATAACGCTTAAGGCGATCCTACAATAGGAAGCTTAAGCTTTTTTTTCCCCAAAAAATAATGTACAAAAACAACTTGAGTTTTATTTAATTAAAATAATTTTGAAAGTTCACCACATAAAGCTTTGAAGGGGAAGTACCACTTTAGACCTACATCTGAATGGAAACTTGAGACACGCTGGTTTTAGTTCCATTTCACTACCGCCTCATCCCTACAATCTACAGCTAACCTCAGGGCTGGCCCACTCCCGTCGGGCACCCTGCATCCGGTCAGTGGGAGCCTCCCCCTCCATACTTCGTTTGACGCCTTCCTGGCAAATGCTCATCCGTTGCTACCAGGGTAATTCCTTACATCCACTCTATAAAAAAAGAACGAACGAACAGAAGCCCCTTCACTGAACCAGGATGCCCGAGAGGCGGATCGCCACAGCCTCCAGCTCCGCCTGGGTCCTGGCCGGCCTCCTGTGAGGAAACACAGCTCCACCTAAGGGAGCAGCCCACCTGCTCTGCCAGAACGTGGACACTGTCACCGTGCGAGACCCTGAACGCTCAGCAGGACCAGGGATCACTGCATTTCTCCCATGCCTGGTTATAACCTGCTGCTTCCCCACCCCTTGGGAAATGGGGTCAGAACTACACAGGCAAAATCGGTGGGACCCGGCTCCAACACTCTCTCCCGTCTCTAAGCACCCCTGGCCAACCCTTGTTCAACTGAACTGTTGACTTTCCTCACTAGGATTCCCACTGCCTGGGGCTCCTGGAGAAAACCACGGAACTATCATAAACATACCCTTTCTACTTCAGTAAGCCTTATTCCAGCCAACTTTGCAGTCCTAATTGGTCTCTCTTCCCATGTCCCAAAGCTGTGATGTGCTCAACCTTACCCTCAGGGCACAGTACTTTGCTGATAACCATACACATTAACTCCAAGAGAGCACAAACTCTCATGTCTTTCTCAATGTTAGAAAGGTTCCCAAAGTGAGCCAGCTGCTCCTCCAGTCTCCTCCGTAACCCTCGGCACTCCTCCCTCTGTTCCGGCTTCGTGCACACAGCCTACACACCTGGGGCAGTCTGTCCACGCAGCCTGCGCACCGAATGCCCATCTTCTTCTCCCTCAGTGACGGGATGACATCCATCTCTTTGCCTTCCTCAACCTGCGTCTGGAATCACGGGAGTCACTGTCTACTACACCTCGAACTTGACCTCGAGAGGCAAACTGCTACAGTCAGGCCTTCACCCACACTTCTTCCCAGATGGGGTGCTTTCAGAAGAGCAGCTGAAGGCCCTTCACCCAGCCTGCTTCTTCCAGCAGAGCTCAGCATCCGAATGTCACACGCCGCACGGGCCACAGCAGGTACCTCCTTTGTTCCAGCTTTCATCACTGCCAAAGCTTGCTTTTTTTAAAACTAGGCAAACCAAAGCAGCAGTATCTGGCAAGACTATCTAATTTTATTAAGTGGACAAGAAAGGTCACACTTTGCTAATTCAATTGCAAAATATCACTTTCTATGGTTTTGACTTGACATAAATTACTTAGTTTTGATACTAAGTTCTGACTTTTTTTTTAATTTGGCAGGAACCAGGGATTGTTAGAATGAAAATGGAGTATATATTTGTTTAAATTGACAGTATTATAAATTACACCTTTTATCCATTATGCTTCTATAGGCTTAAAGTTTTTAAATATGTAAAAGTAATTTATTATACTCTAAGACAAAGTACAACTGGTCTGGCACAGTCTCAGAAAAGCCAAATTTCATCTTATAAAATGAAAATTATATGTGCCTGAAGACTCTAAGCACTTTAACACTCTAAAAAGCTGGAGATCCCACTCAATATTTTTAAAAGATATGATTCAAGATGGGTAGCATCTTAATTCAGCCATCTACAAAGACTAAAAACTGAAATTTTAAAAATATTTTATGTTGCCAAGTTCTTAACACGGAAAACATCATGCACTGTCAGTGGAATTATAAATTATTTACAAAGAATCCAGAAATTAATTTAGTAATAAAAATATTTATACTTTTTTTAAAAATAGCAGCCCACATCTCTCTCTTTAAAAAATGTATTTATTTGAAAGGCAGTTACACAGAGAGAAGGAGAGACCCATCTTGCATCCAATGGTTCACTCCCCAAATGGCCCCAACTGCAAGGGCTGGGCTGGGCCAGCCAAAGCCAGGAGCCAGGAGCTTCATCAGAGTCTACACATGAGTGCAGGGGTCCAAGCGCTTTGAATCATCTTCTGCTGCTTTCCCAGGTCATCAGCAGAGATCTGCACTGAAGTGGAGCAGCTGGGACTCGAACCGCCACCCATTTGGGATGCTGGCATTGCAAGCAGTGGCTGTACATGCTAAACCACAATGCCAGCCCTTATTTATACTTCTGTCACAGTGATTTGCCTTTTTGGGGTGTAATCTCAAAAATAACCTAAAGTGTGGGTAACACCTTATACATAAAGAAGATCACCGAGACTTTATGCCCAAAGTAAGCGCTTATTCCCAATGTTACATGAATGGTTAAGTTATGGAAAATCAGCAACAGAATACTAGACAATCATCACAAGTTAGATTAAGGGGCAGGCATTGTGGTGCAGCAGGCTGGCTACGACTTGAGACCCCTGCATTCCACAGCCAAGCCCTGGCTGCTCCACTTCCTGCTGATGCACTGGGATCGCATCGGACGGGAGTGAAAACACTTGAGCCCCAGCCACCCAGGCTGGAAACCCTGATGCAGTGCCTGGTCTCTGGCTCTGGCTGGCCCAGCCCCAGCTGTTGTGGGCATACAGGACAGGGAGTGAACCGTGGAAGGAAGATGTCGGTCTCTTCCTCTCTCTCTCTCTCTCTCTTTCTCTCTCTCTCTCTCTGGACTGAACCAGTGGAAGGAAGATGTTGGTCTCTTCCTCCTTCTCCCTCTCCCCCTCTCTCCTTCTCTCCCTCCCTCTCTCTCTCTCTCTGTCACTCTGCCGTTCAAATAAACCAACAAACAGATCTTTTTTAAAAAGTACATTCATGGGGCCTTATGTGGTACAACAGGTTAAGACACTGCCTCCGATACTGGCATCCCATATAAGCACCAGTTCAAGTCCCAGCTGCTCTACTTCCAATCCAGCTCCCTACTAATGCACCTGGGAAAGCAGCAGAAGATGGCTCAAGTGCTTGGGCCCCTGCACCCACATGGGAGAATTGCAAGAAGTTCTGGGCTCCTGGCTTCAGCCTGGCACAGTCTCTGTAGATGCAGCCATCTGGGGAGTAAACCAGCAGACAGAAAATCTGTCTCTTCCCTTTCTCTCTGTAACTCTGCCTTTCAAATAAATAAATAAATAAAAAATAATAAATAGGGACGGGCATTATGGACTAATGGGCAAAGCTGCTGCCTGTGACGCCAGCATCCCATGTGGGTTTGAGTCCCAGCTGCTCCACTTCTGATCCAGTTCCCCACTACTGCACCTGGGAAGGCAGGAGAAGACGGCCCCAGACTTGGGCCCCTGCACCCACATGGCAGATCCAGATGGAGCACCTGCTTTCAGCCTGGCCTAGATCCAGCTGTGCCGCCATCTGGGGAGTGAATCAGTATATGGAAGGTCGCTTTCTCCCTCTTTCTCTGCAACTCTGACTTTTGAATAAATAAATCTTTTTAAAAAATCCAATAAATAAATTTATTTTAAAAATTGTATTACTGCACTATCGTTTTTAATTAGGATATGTTTTGAACTAGGAGACGTTTTGAATTAGGGTATGTTTTGCTATGTGGTAAATTTTGCTTTTTCAATACAAAACTGCAAGAACTGACTGATTCAACTTGTTTTACCATTAGTGAAAAATATTTGCTTAATGCTTATTTTCCTTTCTTCTGAGCTGCAGTGTTACTTTAACAGTGGAACTTGAAAACATATTGAACTGCAATACATCAATGTGAAGATACTGCACAGTTCAGAACCGCGTGCATGAGAGAGAGCAGCCTGTTTCTCTGAGGGCTGCTCCACTCGGGCTAGTGGGGCCACAGATGGGCATCTGCTTTCGGGACAGCTAATCCCTGGGCTGGCTAGCAAGCACACGGCTGCCAGGGCCCCGCAGTCCTGTCCAACTAGGACAACCTTCTCCCACTCAATCAGGTCCTCTGCATGAGGTATCTGAACACAAGCCACATTTCTGTAGCTGATAATGTGTTCCACGGCTACAAGACAGGGAAAGGACTTAAACTAAAGCCAAGGCACAGCGAATCCATGAGGAACTGGGATTTAGGCACAAGCCGAAGCCAGCAGCAGGCAGACAGCACGAGGCGCAGGGAGAACACGGGCCGCGAGTTCCCACTGCGACAGCGAGGCTGGAACTGAAGCAGGTGAATCACTGTGACCGAGCGCTCGGCCGGGGCACAGGCTCCGTGCTGCCGAGACCTGGCCGTGCCACGCACTCGCACAGCACACGTCCAGTGCCTAGGACCACCGGGGAGTTCTGCTCTTTGAAATCTAGTAGAGCCCAACGTGTCATACACTTTAAGAATCTATGATACTGGCAAATGCTCCCATATAAACTTAAGTGAAAAAAGCAGAAAACAAAATACTTTATTAGCATGGTCTCTATCTTTTAATGAAAATATTCATGTACATACAAGGAAATCAAAAGGTTAATCCATCGAAGTATTAATAGTCCTAAATGAGATTATGAGTGAATTTCATTTTCTATATTTTCCTGTTTTCTATAATTTCTATAGCAATGTATATTATTATTTAAATCTAAACAGATTTTCAGAAAAAAATTAAAATACTTGGGATAAATACAACAAAATATTAAATGGCCTTTGCCTGTTGGTGATTGTGTTTGCTGTCTGCTTCTCTGGGAAATACTATTTCCAAATTACTAAATAATCTTGATGCTTTTCTCTATAATTAAAAAAAGGATTAAAACCTGAAGAAAAAAAAAGATGATTAAAGGGGTTTTGTTTATATTTTTAAGCTAGCCTAAGGAAATACATGTGCAGATGACATGTCTGGACTTAGAGATAATTCTACAGGTTTTCACATACATTTTTAGTCTATATTTTAAGGATACTTTATACTTATGCATAAAGTACATCATAAAGAACTTAGAAATTAAAGGGGAGAAGCTGGTCCCTAATTCTGAAACAGTAGAATCTCAGAATTCGAGAATCATAAGCGTCTGTAAGTATCATTTAGTCCAAACAATTTACTCTACAGAAGAAGAAAGTGATGTCTGAGAAGTCACTTAAGAGTCTCATGGCTAACAAAGGGAGAGCTTCCCTCTCCTGAACCTCACAGCTTTCTCGGTAAAAACAGAAAACGTCTACCCACCTGAACTACAACCTCCTAAATTAGGAAGATATCTGAAAATTGGGAGGAAAAATTTTATAAACAGAAATCCCAAAAATTTTTAAACATTTATTTTTTTGAAAGGCAGATAGAGATCCTCTATCAACTGGTTCACTCCCCAGATGGCCACAATGGTCAGAGCTGGGCCAGGCCAAAGCAGGAGCCACAAGATTCATCCAGATCTCCAACATGGGTGGCAGGGGCCCAAACACCCGGGCCATCCTCTGCTACTTTTCCCAGGCCGTTAGCAGGAAACTGGATCAGAAATGGAGAAGCTAGGACTTGAACTGGCACCCATATGGGATGCCAGCATCATTGCAGGCAGCAACCTTACCTGCTATGCCACAACACTGGTCTCAGAAATTCTAAAATTAATATTAATATACAACAAATGTTAAAGTTTTCTCATGAGATCTAGGGGGAAAAATCTGTTTTTAAGGTTTTTAGACTTGTACCCAAAATCAAAAAGAGAAAAGAAAAAAAAGTTTGTTACAATGCTTGTGTTGGTGAATAATCTGTAGAGAACATACGATTTTGTTATTGCGGTTCAATGAAATAAGTGGGGCTGGCACATGGTGCAGCAGGTTAAGCCACCACTCTGAGACTGGCATCCAGTTCTGTCTGCTCGGCTTCCGATCCAGCTCCCTGCTAATGAGCCTGCTGAAGGCAACCTGGGCCCCTGTCACCCACAACAGAGACCCAGATGGAGCTCCTGGCTCCTGGCTCCTGCCTGGCCCAGATCTGGCCATTGCAGCCATTTGGGGAATGAACCAGCAGATGGAAGATCTCTCTGTGTCTCTCCCTGCTGCTCTGCCTTAAGGAAACACACACACACACACACAAACACACACACACACACACACACACACACACCTTCAACCAAATAATAAATAAATAATTAGCAAATAGACAACTGGCTGGATTAGAAAATCTTGACACAGCCTAGTACCTAGAATCCCGTCTGAGCCTCAGCCCCCTACACCAGGGGTCACAACACCACCAAACTCGTTTAAGTCATATGTAACCGTAAGCTCCGTCTGCTTACGGAGCTTACTGTTGTGACCTTGGTGCTCACCTTCCTGGTCCACTGGGCAATATTATCACTTGAAACCCAGTACAGAGAACATGATAAACCCAAGAATGTCCAGATCTCAACAGTTTCCACAAATCTTGGTCAAACAGCCCAGCAAATAAAACAGCCAACGATAAAACTAGCTAATGCTAACTACAAAAACTTCCCAACTTTTTGTCGACCAAAGTCAAGAGGTGGCATGGG